TGTGGATTCCCCGCGCTCCTCGTGCCAAGGCCCAACACCAGCACTGGCACCTCATCCACCTCTGCCTTTTCCCCCCAGATTCCTCCTGTCCCACCTGTCCCACCCTAGACTGGCTGCCCTGAGTGCTTCACTCAGGGATACACATCCCAAGGATGCTCTGGGGCCCTGGTGGTGGGAATGGAGACGTTACCAAGCCCCTTCACGTGGCTTTGACAAATACAAAACAAGTTTTTCTTGACCCCAGGTATTTTCTGTGCAAGGCCAAGTGCAGGTAAGACCTCACACAGCTCCAAGCTGTGCAGCAAAACCCATGTGACTCTCAAATTCCACAGGCAAAATGCTGTTTGCAGCTTCATATCAGAGCTCAAACATCCCAGTTGTGTAACACCTCCAACTGTTTCAAGGCCATTTTCTCTGACCCCAGAAGCCTCCTCTGAATTTTACTCAAGGACAAAAATGTGACCATCACACCGGTGATGGCAGAGGATGGAATTTCCAGGGGATAGAATTTCAGAAGGAAATAGAAACGAAAAAAAAAATAAAATAGAGATCGTCTGAACTATCTCAGCAGGCAGGAGGAGTTGGGCAGAGAATCCTCTGTGTCCCTCCTCATCTTTTAAACAAGCCAACAGAATTCCATGGATATTGATGTGCATTGATACAGAATGGGATTTTGAGAGCTGCAGGGCTTGGAGCAGCCTGTGGAAGGTGTCCCTGCCCACGGCAGGGGGTGGAACTGGATGAGCTCTAAGGTCCCTTCCAACCCAAACCCTTCTGGGATTCTGTGATGCTGGGATTGCTCCAAGCATAACACACATACCATGTGTTTTACAACCTGTCTGCTCCCTGCCCTGTGTTTGCAGAGATGCTCTGGGGTAAACACACCCCTGCTCACTGTCCATTTTCTCCTCCCACCCGTCCAGCTTTGGCCCAGACTCACATCCCTCTTGTAAACACCCCTTTTCCTCCTGCCTCCATCCCAAGGAGTTCTCCTGCCTCTCTCCAGGCTGTGATGTCTGTCAGGAAGGAGCTTGGGTGTGTTCTAAAGGAGCAGATCCTGATTCCAAACCACAGGCTGGCCCTGCAAGTTCCTGCTGCACCAAACCAGAGCACATCAGATAACATTTTAAAACGTCTTTTAAAAATGTCTCTTTTTCTTTTTTTAGCCCTTAGAATGATCAAAGCCTCGAGACAGCAGCTGTTTGAAGGGAAGACTAGAATTTACAACCCCCTATAAATCATTTATGATTGCAAATGAAATGCTGGCAATAGAACCACGTTTAAAGAAGAAAGTTACTCCGTGTTCCTGTACCAACTTCCAGTCCCTGATTGGTACCTTTGCAAAGCCCCAGGAAGTTACAGAGAGGAAGATTAATTTTCCTTACTGTTTTTATACCAGTATGAATTCAGGAATGGTTCACATTAGTAGCACTAGGAAGCAGGAAGATAAAATATTCAGGAGAGTGAGATAATTCTGGAAGCTGTGACTTGCCTGTGGCTTGTTTTCCTCCTCAGGGACAGCTGTTCTTCAAGTGGTGTGAAGAAATAAAAGATATATTGAAACACATATTTGAAATTATGTACTTAACCCATGTTACCTCTTTGTGGCCACACAAAACTCACCTCAGCAGTGCATCAGCTTCAAAAGGCTGAGGGAAGCCCAAATCCAGAACGTGCAATTCCCTGCTCACAGAAGGTGAATGCTCAGACAAGGAGTGGTTTACAGCCAATGCCTAAATTACCAGTGTCCAAATGCCACTTAAGCTCTGCTTTAATTTTGCCCCTGAGAGCTTTATGGAGGTGGTTGGTTCATCACTTGTGGCCTCTGAATTACAGTTTGTCATCTTTGGGTTAAACTAACGAGGGGGGAAAGATGAGATCTAGCATCGTCTTTTCCCTCTGCTGAAAGGGGATTTTCTTCTCTCTGCTGAGGAAAGAAATAGGCAATCCTCCAAACTTCTCAATGGATGGACCCAGAACACATTCCCAGCCCCTTCGACCTGCCTGCTCCTGGAGGCAGGTGGCTGCAAAGCCTGGCTTTAAGGGGTGTTTAAAGGACTAGGAAATCACACAGCTCCTCTATTGACCTGCCAGAGTGTGTGTGCCCAGCTCACCTGCAGCCCCATCCCACCTTTCAAAGGTGATTCCAGGAATTTTTCAGGTTTAAAAGCCGGGAATTGGGGAGGGAATGGCTGAGCTCAGGGAGCCGTGCGCCCTCTGCCGGCACCGCCCGCAAGCGCAGCCAGCCCGCACCATCCCGGGAGAGGCAAATTTAAGCAGTTTTAAGCAAATTTAAGCAATTAAAAGTGTACATTTACCATCCCCTCTGCGGCTTTAGGTGCTTTCCAAGCTCCCTGCTACCGTGGCTAAGCTCATTCTGCTCCACACAGGACAGGAGGCACATAAATAACAAAGTTCATCGGGCAGCAGCATCGCCTTCTCACTCCAGAATCCTTTACAAAAGATTTACACTTTTACTTCAGGTATCTGACAATCTGAGCACTGCGATCAGCAACCTGCAGCCTTCACCCACAAGAAACGTGGTCTCCCTGTGTTAAATAACAGCAAAGCATTCTCCTGGCTGCCTTTTTACTGAGCTTGCACTCAGACAGAAGAATTTAGAATGTGATCAAAGCGCGCCGCGATTCCGGCGAAGAAATGTGAGACACAACAATCGAGAAGGGACACATTCTTTTTCTAGACTGATGCTTAGAAATATTTAGCTATTTCTAGACTGATGTTTAGGAATACTAATTCATTTTTAACTCCCAAACAGGGCCCAGCTGGGGCTGTTGTGACACACCAGAGACACAAGTGACGGTTGCAGCCCTCTGGCACGGGCCCAGGGATATTCCTCTCTACACAAGCCATGTCTTGCCAAAGCAAGGCACAAGCACTTCCCTGGCAGGATTTGGTGGTGCACAAGCCCTTCTCCAGAACTGCAGCCTGAATTCCCACCTGGGTTCTATTTTTGGGAGCTTTAAATCAGGGCCAAGTGACAAAACACGAGGTGATCTCGGCCGGTTCAATACAAGTCATTTGTCAGCAGCAAACCCAGCTGAGTACTCTGTAAATTCTAAGCCGTGGTACCATCTACAGACATTTCCCAGTTCAACCCCTTTGCTATAAAACACATCCTTCAGTAGACAGATGTGCCAGTGCAAATATTCCCTGCAGAACAGGGTTATGAGGTATTTTGTTGCCAAAAATTTTCCAATTTGCATTTCTAACATTTGCCCCCAGGCAAAAGTCGTCATGATTTATAGGAGACAAACACAAAAGCTGCCCAAATGACCCAGATAACTCCCTGAATCACAGACCATTACTAAAAAGTGCAGGGTGGCTGTTTTTATGGACCTGTGAATAGCAGGATGCACATTCTTGTTTGCCACCCACCACTGGACTAGAAATCTCAGCTCCCATTTTAAACCTGTGAATGGACAGGATGAACTTTTGCTGGCCCTGTTTTCACATTTTGCAGCCCACTGGTTTTACCCACAGGTCTGATGTCGTGCAACCACATTCCTGGAAGGCATTTCCCTACTTCCAAGTCCGTTTTCTTTCTCATTTCCCCCCCCCTCCCAGTTCCAGCCTCAGCAAAGCCAAATATCCTGACTGTAACCTGCCCATCATCCTTGCTCTGGTGTGTTTTCCAGGACAAAGAGGAGGATCTCAGCTCTGGGAACACAGCAGGGGCAGATTCACCGGGTATAGCCATTCTATCCCTGCTCTTGCACACCCTGTGAAACCTCCAGCACTTCCACACACGTGAAAAGGTTTGTGTTCCAGCCCCAGGACACAACCCAGTTCTCAGCACACCAAGCAGCAGGAGCCGAACACGGAACCTTTCCAGCCGCACTTGTGCGTCTTGCGTAACGTCCCGGGATTCAAGAATGCCGTGGAAAAAGACCAACACACAGAAACTGAGGGGTGGAAACAGCTCAAGGAGGTATGAAACTGTATTGTTTCCCTGGAAACCTGTCCGTGAGCTGAACATAAATTATTCCTGCTACTGTTGAAGCAGCTTTTATCTGTGAGTTGATAAAGTCAGGCTTGCTTATCGCCGCTAACGCGTCACATCTCTCACCACAGCTTGAGTCATTTGCTGGTGGCACCTCAAACCATCCAGTCTGGGCTTTATGGATCCTGCAACATCAGAGACCAACTGCTGAGATGCTGTGCTGGTCAGCAGGGCTGGTTCTGTCAGACAGTTCCCCCCAGATAATGCTGAACTGTAGAACACCTTTCACCACATCTCACTGAGTTTTCCATCGGTTGCATCTCAGAGGTGAAGAAGTTGTTCTAACTTTTTACTTCTAAGTGATGAGCCAAGCCAGGAATCAGAAGAGTCATAAATCTCATTCTCACTCCTGTTCTGGAAGCTGGTAATTGGTGCAAGACAAACAAAGTAAACGAGCTGCTCAGGTAAGTGCTCCTGCTGGAAATGCACCAGGAAGTGCTTTTTCCAGCTGAGCGTGAAGGTTAAAAACACAACAAATGCGAGACAAGATTAAGAGTGAAGTCCAAAGCAAGAAGCTCGTAAGAGCACCCCTCCATAAATCCCTGTTAGTACCTAAACAGGGCAGGGATTTGACTCTGAGGGGCCTGAGGGGCCACCTGAACAGGCAAGACAAAATGTGCACGGCTTTCCTTTGCCCCTCCACCAGGACAGCGGGAATCCTGAGGGCAGCCTGGAGCTGGAAAGTCTCGGAAGGAAACTCTTTGCTTCCAGCAAGATGAATAATACACCTGTTCCCTACTTGTGAGCAAACACTACGAGGGAATAATTAGAACCTATCTGACCTGAAACCCACATGCCCATTACTGTGGTATTTTTCCACCTACTACAGGTGAAACAGAAGATGGGCTGGACCTGGAAGGGGAGGGGTGGAGTGGCAGCACAAGATGCTGATTTATAAAGCACTGGCAAACAGTGCTCTTTCTCCACAGGCTTTGGACAAGGAGCTCGTCCTGCCTGAAGGATGCCAAGGTGGGAGCAGGATTCCAGCTAACACCTGCTGGCCATCTGAGAGGGACCTACCACCTCCTGCACTCCAGCTGCTCTGAGCCACTTCACCTCCAGCTGGGCTTTGCCTTTTCATCCAGAGACTTTTTCACTCCATCAGGAAAGGAATAAACTCACCAAGATGGTAAAGGTGAGTACAGGTGCAAGGGATTGCCCCTCCTGCATTTGTGTTTCTTCTTAAGAAAAAGCATTAATTTAAGTTTTAATATGCCAGTGTATACCATAAGTACAAGCTAAGAGAAAAACTGAATTAATACCAGACACTGGTGGGTGTGATCAGTTTGGAGAGGGAAGAATTCTAGGACTGGCTGGTTTGATAATCCACAGGTTCATGAGCACTTGCAGATACCAAAATCTAAGATTTTATGAAAATGTGCAGGTTAAAGGTTAAACATAGATCATGCACACAAGTGATGAATAGATTCTACTAACTTCATGAATTTTCTTTATTATCCTCTTCCAACTGCTAAGCTCTCACAGTAGAGAGCTGCTTTCATTCTCTCCTGGTCCCTCTCCTTTATAGGGATTTGAAAAGCTGAACAGATTTTTGGGTGGGATAGTTAAAGAGAGGAGAAGGAGGAGAAGGAGGAAGGTGAAGAAAAAAATCCCAATAGATAAAGCAGATTGTGAATCTTCAGCATGGTAGAAAGAAATAGAACTTGTTGTAATAGACATGTCCTTTCTCTGGGATATTCATCACCAGGCTCAAGTGCTCTAAGAAAGGGATTTCAGCCTTTCAGATCCCCAAACTGCTCCCCAGTTCTTTGCTTTTCCCTTCCTCAAGACACGATGCCAAGACTTGAATATTCCACCAGTTAAAGGGCAGCTTTAAGAGGGTCAGATGCCAATTTTGAGTTCAGAACAGTGTTAAGTAATAAGATGCCCCAATTATTTATTTTTTTCTTGCTATTTCCATTACTTGAGCTCTCTGCTTTGACTCTCCTGACCCTCTGGTGTTTAATCCATAAGGAAGCCTCTGGAATGGGGTCACCCAATAGTCCTTCCAAGGCCTGGCATGTAGTTTACAAGATAATTAGGAACTGGAACGTTATGATTACAGGAGCTGGTAAATCAGTGGCACAGGAAGTTTGCCCTTCAGACCACAGTGTTAACTTAAATTAGGCAACAGCACAACCCCCAAGTTATCCCTGAAAGCAAAACATTATCTGAGGTTTAGCAGCATCCCCAGGTCAGCAGCTTCCTGGCAAAAATAAGGGAATATTTTGCTAACTCCCTGTTAGTTCTGAGCTCTGTGTGAGGAGGAGCAGACTGACTTCTCCCTGGCTTTCAGGTGGTGTTTGCCTCATCTCTCACTTGTGATTGAGTGTAAATATAAATATGTCAATGTTAATTTTAATTAGAAAAGTAACTCTTTAAGTTGTGTATCTGAAAAGCCCCAGGAACAAGCAAGTTCTCGATGAATAAATTTTCCCTCCCCTTTCCTGTTACAAATCTTTTGCTTTTCCACCAATCTCTTCTTGGAGCTGATAAATGACTGAATGGTTTCACACTGGCAGTGGTGGCAGCCTGGGCAGCATTTCCACACTCGGTGTTAGACAATAAGCTGCTAAAAGGGTTGCACATCCCTAAAGGAATCTCTGTAATTTCCATTTGGTGAAGTCCTGCCCATGATCACTGTAACACGCACTGGGTGGATCTCAGGATAAGGCAGGAGCTAACACTTTGAGCTGCCAGGACAAAGGGAGAGCAGGAATTTGTAGGTCGAAAACAAGAAGGAGATTTGGCAGAGTTTGACTTTTTTTTTTTTTTTGTGGTCTTCCACAGAAAAGGTCTGATGTTTACTCAGTTGAGATCTACGGGACAAAAGATCTCCATAAGATGGAGATGGAAGATGAAGACGAAAAGAACAAAGACTTAAAAGGCAACAAGAAAAAAAAGAAGACAGAGGAACTTAAGAAAGAGCTGGACCTGGTGAGTGTTGCTGAGCTCCCATTACACCTGTCAGTGAAATCCAGGGAATGAGCATCTTAATGAGCTGCACTGAAAATCCTGACACAGGGAAGGATTGGCTTCCTCACACCCCTGGAGTGTGCCAGGAAAGTGTTGGGCGAGATTAATGCCTAAAATGAAAGAAGGACTCTGGTTTAATTAAGCCACCAGTGGTACAGAACATTATCTCCCCAAGAAGGAGTTATTCCCCAGATGGAATAACTGTCATCAGTATTTCCTGACAACCTGCCTCTTGCACAGGCAGCCAAGAAACACAGAGAAGGGCACAGACATTTCCAAAAGCATGTCCCAGCTTTAAGCCCAGGGTTTTCCCCCCAACTAACAGCATTGTACTCCAAGGACAGTGCACTAAGCTCAAGAAATCTGTATTTTCCTTCTGGCTTGCTCCCGACCTGCTGGCTGCTCTTGGAAATGTTGCTTCCTCTCCATGCATTCCAGTTTCCCAATCTGGAACATGAGGGTAATTATACTGACCTCTTTTTGGAACTGCTTTGAGAGCAGCTCGGAGGAGAGGCTTCTTACAGGCTGGATGGTATCTCAGAGGGAAAGGACCCCCAGAATGGGCCCCTGGTTCTGTGATTCTGAGATCAATTCACCCATCACGTTTCCAAGGTCTGCCCAGCAGCAGCTAAACAGTTCCCAGGCCATTTTAGCTTTGCCACCAGGGGATGTAACATCACCCTCCTGTTTCTAAAGAGAAACCAAAGCACAGACAAGTTAATTGACTCATCCAAGTGCCCATGAATCACCCTGTGAAAACAACTGTGAGATCTCTCAAATTCTTGGCTTCTAAATCTCAGCTCAGCACAGGATATAATTAGGCCAGTGATACCACAGAGGTGTCACTGCAGGCAAAGGAGAAGAGCTTTGAGATTTCCCTCTCCCACACCCTTTTTAACTGTGGTTAAAACCTGTTGCCTCTTTCTACAGGACTGTGGTGGATAATTTCACATACCCTGCCTTGGCAATCCAGGGCAGAGATTGCTGTCACACGTACTCTGCCACTGCCTGTGCTGCTGAGCCCTGTGCAGCACACAAGGAGGAATTATTTATCCAAAAGAAGCACAGACACTTTAGGCAGGCAGGATTGCCATGAGCACACCGTCCTGTTCTTGTGACAGATTTGCTGGAGGAGGGAGCTATTTACAAAAGTACTCTGCAAATCAAAAGAAAATATCATCTTCCAGTGGAACATACTTATGCTTACCAATGTGCAGATTGACTATTAGTGAAAGTGGGGTGTCATACAAGCAGCTGGATCCGTGGTCCCAGATTCTTGAGCATTCTCCAGATGCCAAAATTCAAATTTCAGCAGGCTGACATTCTGCTCACTCCCATTTTCTCTCTCTTTTGGAATTCAGGATGACCACAAACTCAGCATCTCGGACCTGGAGAAGAAGTATGGTACAAACATCAACAAAGTAAGTCCACGGGCCATCATTATGGAACTGCCTGAATCAGCTGCCTCTGGGCTCCTCAAAGCTTCCAGAAGCAGCAGGAAAGCATTAATAGATATTTTGTGGGTGCCTACATCCATGCTCCCAGTAAAGCCTAAACCAGCAAGTCCACGTGCAGCACTGGCCTGGATTTAAAGTGGAGTTCCCCTCAAGTCTGGAAAAGGCTGATCTACTGTTTTGGAATCAAAATCCCTGCACAAAACGTGGCCTCGGGGTTTGCACCGGGAGCTCAGCTTTTCTAAAGCTTTTATCTGATATTTTGATTTCACTGCAATTCATTTCTCACTGGCAGTGCCTGTAACAACTTAGAGCAAAAGTCTGCAATGGGATGACTTGGGTTTTGGAGGAAACATTACATTTGAGAAACTGTGCACCTGAGTCCCTTTGACACCTGACATTTGAGTATCAAAGCACTGCAATGTGGGCAAAGCACAGACAAGAATTTCAAGAAACCCCTGAGCTACAAACATCTTGTGGAAATGCAGAAACAGCAGCCAAATAACCAATGTGTGTTTTTCCCTGGCTTTCCAAGCACTTAGTCCAGGTGTACCTGATTTATAACCACCAGAATTAAACCCCTTAATGGGCATGGCCCCAGATTCAGTACTCCAGTAAAGAAATATTTGGGTTTTTAGAGCAGATAACTAACAGCAGCCACTTTGGAAATAAAGGTTGCAGATTACGGTGGCTGATTTGTGACATAAATAACGATTAAAGAAACAGCAGCCTGTGGATTTTGTTCTGAGACAAAACAAAATGTGGGTTTTTTTCCTCTGGCTCCATGTTAAACATGTCATTTCCTTCTGCAGGGTCTCTCTAGTGCCAGAGCAGCAGAGGTTCTGGCTCGGGATGGCCCCAACGCCCTCACTCCTCCCAAAGCCACTCCTGAAATCGTCAAGTTCCTCAAGCAGATGGTGGGAGGCTTTTCCATCCTCCTGTGGATAGGGGCTGTCTTCTCCTGGATTTCTTTTGGCATCCAGCTTGCCCAGGGAGCTGAATCAGCCTTTGACAATGTAAGTAGATGAATAACCACCAAGTGAGTATTTGACCCTGTGACAATCTAAGTCATTTAAATACTACACAGTTACTCAGTAACTCCAAGGAGGCCTCTTATTCTTGCAGGACTCTCCCTCTCTGACTGAACACTTCTGATAAAACCTCAAATACTTGACATACCACTTCTGTCCAGAGAGAGCCTATGCAAAGGTTTTATAACCACTGGGCATAATAGAAACACTTATAATAAAGTCCACAAAGAACTCCAGACGGAGTCTTTGACTGATTCCCTTATGAGTTACACTCTGCTGGAAGTATAATTTGTTTGGGCTTGTGTCAGGCACAGTTTAGAGAATGCTTTTAGAGGCATGGGAACCTTGCTATTAAAAGTCATTTTTATACTCAGAAAGCTTTACTTGATCACTTGCAAGGCAACACTTGAAAGCTCTGTTCTCAAACTGTCTTTTCAACTGACCAACACCTCAGTTTTGCAGTCTCAACACAGAGCTATGATTTATTCCAGCAGAGGAATTGCTGAACGCTTGTCCTTAATTAACTGGATTATGCCTTCTGTTAATTAGCTCTACCTCGGAGTGGTCCTGGCACTGGTTGTCATCCTCACTGGAATCTTTGCTTACTATCAAGAAGCCAAAAGCACGAACATCATGGCCAGCTTCAGCAAGATGATCCCCCAGGTGAGAACCACCAGTGACCTTCAGCTGGGATGAAAGTTCATCCTCGAAGTGGCAGGAGCACAACGAGCCCAGCCTGAACACACCCCTTGGCAGGAGGTGCAGAGGGTGATTTCTGTCACACTTGTGTCTTCCAGCAAGCTCTTGTCATCAGAGATTCAGAGAAGAAGGAGCTGCCAGCGGACCAGCTGGTGGTTGGAGACATCGTGGAGATCAAGGGCGGAGACAGGATCCCAGCGGACATTCGCCTCATCTCCGCTCAGGGCTGCAAGGTAAACTGGGCTTGGAAGGGTACAGGAAAGGGGGGAAAAGAGGGTTTAGAGGCTTGGATTACACAGAAAGAATTACCCTCTTGGGTAGGAGGACCTGTTAGAGCTCTAATAGATAGAATCTGATTAAATCACAGAGCAAAAGCTATGCTGTGATGCTCAGCTCATCTAGGACTAACATCTCCACTCCCTGAACATCAAAAGAAGTCATTAGGTCCATACTATGCTCTAGTAATGCTCTTTGCCAGGACAGAGGAAGATACACCAATACATCATTAAGAGTCTCCACAGACCTGGGAAACAAAGGTTTCCAAACCATGTTTTGTTTCAGGCTTCTCCTGAAAATCCCTCTGACAGACACACAGCACTGAGTGAACTGAATTCCCACAGAAATAATCTCTGTCAGTGACAACAGAACTCAGAGAAAAGGCAGCTGAGGGATTTCTGTGGCCCTGCCACTGGTTATTAAACATGCTGCCACCTTGCCATCTGGGCCAGGCATCACTGTGTGTTACTAACCTTAATATGGGCATGTCTCCATTTCATTAAAGGTGGACAATTCTTCACTCACAGGGGAATCAGAGCCACAGTCCCGCTCCTGTGAGTTCACCCACGAGAACCCCTTGGAGACCAGGAACATCGCCTTCTACTCCACCACCTGTGTGGAAGGTGGGTACAGGCACAAGGGCCTCCAGAAAGGCTCCTGCTAAATCACTGAAGCAATTCTGCTGCAAGGAACTCCAGGGGGGGTTTCATTGCTCACAAGAAACTCCTGTCCCAAGCAGAACAAAATAAAACCTCAAGCACTGGGATGGTCAGAGTATCAACCAGCAGGGGTTTTTGTCTGAACAGATATCCTGGTTTTGCGTGCCACAATCAATTAACTGTGGTTCCCTTGCGGGTTTTCCATCAAGAATCCTTTGGAATGTCAAGCTGCAGATGCCTCTAAGAACCTGTCTGGCCTGGGGCTGACTGCTTTCCCTGTCCCTGCAGGCACTGCCACTGGCATTGTCATCAACACCGGGGACCGCACCATCATCGGCCGCATCGCCTCGCTCGCCTCGGGCGTCGGCAACGAGCAAACCCCCATCGCCATCGAGATCGAGCACTTCGTGTACCTGGTGGCAGGAGTGGCCATCTCCATCGGGGTGCTCTTCTTCATTATATCTGTCTCCATGAGGTACAAGATTCTGGACTCCATCATCTTCCTCATTGGCATCATCGTGGCCAACGTGCCCGAGGGACTGCTGGCCACGGTGACGGTGAGTCCGGGCTCGGATGCCGCTCCAGTTCTTGTCTGACTCGGGGGGAGGTTTGTTTTTTTTTTTCCCCATGGAGCTGAAAGGATAAACACTTTCTTTGGGAATTACGGCATGACTGAGCCATTAATCTTAAAATCAACAACCCAGTTTGAAATGAGGTTCTTCAAGGACCACCCTGCCTCAGTCGCTGACCAGCAGAATGACACGACTCATTTCCCCAGAGCCTGTTCCCGTTTGGAAAGGAGGACACTGTACCCTAAAAGATGCATGAAAACTCCACTTATTAACACATCTGTGGATCACTGATATCCCTGGCTGAGGAGCAGCACTGCTAAGCACTGGTAGCTCTAAAGCACCAGCAGTAGTGCAATAATGAAGAGAATCATTTCAGGATTCATTAAGTTAGTGACCAGAACTTCCCCCATTGTAGGTTCTTCCAGATAAAATAGACTCTTAACTGAAAAGACATTTCTATCAGCAGGCAAGCAGGTTCCTCTCAGCATTTAAATGCACTTGTGCTGGTTATAGCTAAACCTCAGGTTTTAATAAAAAGAGAGGAAAAAAAAAAAACCACTGTAGTCAATCAAAAGCAAAAAATGTTCTCTTCCAAAAACAAAACCCACAACAAATCCCAGCAGTATGTAACCTCACTACCCCTCTCTGATCATCCCTCACTAACAGCTGGACTTCTTTGCTCCTGCCAGGTGAGCCTGTCCCTGACAGCCAAGCGCATGGCCAAGAAGAACTGCTTGGTGAAGAACTTGGAAGCTGTGGAAACCCTGGGTTCTACCTCCATCATCTGCTCTGACAAGACAGGAACCCTCACCCAGAACAGGATGACTGTGGCTCACCTCTGGTTTGACAATCAGATCTACTCAGCAGACACCAGCGAAGACCAAACAAGTAAATGTGGCAGTGGGGGATGTGGGAAGGGGCAGCTCCTTGGATCAGACCTGGGATGTTCACACCTACTGGCTGCCAAACTGGTGCCAATGGGAATGTCTTCTGCAGTTAAACCAGACATGTCCTTCCAGACAGACGTGCAAAGTCCCTTCTTAGACATGTAGAGATGTGAAAATAAGAATTAATATTTGAACTCCACTCATGGAATAGTCTGGAGGAGATTCTTCTCCAGAGCCTTCTGCCAACAGTACATTTAGGAGGGAAGTGAACAGAGAAACATCATCTAAACACCTTCAGCAGCCCTGTTAACTGATGGATGGGAAAGTTTGGGCCAAAATGTTTTTCTGTAAAAGAACCTGTCAAAAGAGCGATTTTATTCTGAAAATAGAACAATTCTGTTGTTTCACACTTTAAGCTTCTACCTCTATCCCATAATGTGCTAAAGGGTGCAGTGACCCCATAACTTGCTAAAGGGTGCCATGTGTGTTTTTCTTCTCTCAGCCCAGCCCTTTGATCAAACCTCTCCATCATGGACAGCGTTATCCAAAATTGTGACCCTCTGCAACCGGGCGGAATTCCGGCCAGGCCAGGAGAACCTCCCCATAATGAAGGTAGTGCCCACTTCACACCAGCTTATTTCCCTTCCTCTGAGAGGACAATTCATTCTGCTTGGTTTTAGGAATCTCTTAAGTTCCTACTATTACTGCTGTACACTCACAAAACATTTAACACAGGGGAAAAACCCACACACACAGCCAAGGGTGTGGAATCACAGAATCACAGAGTATCCTGAGCTGGAAGGGATTCACAAGTCCAGCTCCTGGCCCTGCACAGGATATCCCCAAGAATCCATGTCTGGCAGTATTGTCCAAACACAGCTGTGCCTGTGAGGAAAAAGGCAACACGAGCAGCAAGAATCTCTACACTAATAATTACTATGTTATTAATTTAATATAGCAAAGGTAAACATGCCTTAATGAATGTCTTCACACTTGACTGCTTGAAGGTAGTAAATTCCAGTGACCACACTACCAGAACACAGCCCTGATTTCTGCTGTTTACTCATCCATGCCTTCCAGAATTTAATTTGGATTTGTGCCTCAATTAGGTCACCTAGAGCTGTGTTCCAAAGGTTGATCACACGAATCTGCTACCCAGAATCAAACACCAATTTCCTCTGGGCCGTAGCTCAGCTCTAACTCCAAGACTGGATATTCCAAATTTTTACTGTCATAATTTTCCAGGACAGCTTGAGGATTCATTGTAGATTCGTTGCTGCTAAAGCAGCAAACGTGTTATTGAATCATGGAAGTGCAGAAGTACTACAAGAGCTTTTATAAACTCTTTCTTCTTTTGTGCACACAGAGAGTTGTGGTGGGAGATGCCTCTGAAACAGCTCTGCTGAAGTTTTCTGAAGTAATTTTGGGCGATGTCATGGATATCAGAGCACGGAACAAGAAAGTGGCTGAAATTCCTTTCAACTCTACCAACAAATTCCAGGTGTGTTTCGCTTTTGGAATTCATTTTATGCCAGACTGTTCCCACCTTAAACCATTTCTATCACTGGGTCTATAAAGCAACTATTTTGTGACCTGGAAGCCTTAATGCAGTAACTCAGTGATACAGGAAATTTAAGTTATAGCAAGTACAAGACATTTGATGGCATGTACGATATCCTCGTGGAAGAGAACATTGCTTCCAAGCAAAAAAAAAAAAAAAAAGCACCACTGATGCTCTTTCAACCCATTTCCCATTTGTGGCACACAGCTCTCCATCCACGAGACCGATGACCCCAGTGACAAGCGCTTCCTGCTGGTGATGAAGGGGGCCCCAGAGAGGATTTTGGAGAGGTGCAGCACCATCATGATCAACGGCAAGGAGGAACCGCTGGACAGCGAGAAGGCAGAAGCTTTCCAAACAGCCTACATGGAGCTGGGGGGCATGGGGGAGAGAGTGCTGGGTGAGTCCAGCTGGAGGGACTGCCTGAGAGCTGCAGGAGAATGGGATTTAAAATCTTGGTGCATCCAGCATGGCTGGAAAGGTGGTTGAATGCACTGGAGGCAAGAGCAAACCCTGACGTTATAGAGCAAATTTTCCTCTTTATCCCACTGTGCATCACACCAACCCGGCTTTCTTTTCAGGTTTCTGCCACTTGTACCTGCCTGAAAACGAGTTTCCAGACACCTACCAGTTTGACACCGACTCCATGAACTTCCCAACCTCCAACCTGTGCTTTGTTGGGCTCTTATCCATGATTGACCCACCCCGTTCCACGGTGCCGGACGCCGTCTCCAAATGCCGCAGCGCTGGGATCAAGGTAGGGGTTTTACAGGGAGAACCACAGTGATCCTACAGAAATACTCAGGATAATATAAACTCTTCAGAACTTCCACCACGTTGTCATGAAGCATCTTTCCACCAGGGCTACACTTGCTAAGAACCTTTATCCACAGGAATCACAAATCTCAAAACTGTCCAAGTTGAATGTGAAGCAATAATCCCCCTAATTTCACTCCTAGGGGATCCAGAAGCAAACTTTCAGCTCTAAGCAGAGGTGAAAAATCTATACAAATAAAGGAAAATAATCTTTGGAATTGCAGATCTCAGATGAGAGAAATCCCAAGCCTGATGAAATTTTCCTATAGCCTGAAGACAGATCTGGCAACTTTTCTTCAAGAAAAACAAGAAGAGGCTGTGTCTTATCTGTCAGGACATCTCAGTCACAAGGATCCACTTTAAGATGCAATATTCTAAGGAGCTCTCACCATCGAACATACCTAATATAGATCCTTACATAAAGGCTCCTTTATTCTGCATTTTTCTCACCTTGCTGCCTGTGACAAGTTCTTCCTTCACAGCCCTGATAAAACAGCCTCAGTAAGGAGAGTCAGAGACCAGATGTCGATGTGGAACTCAGTAATTACTGCTCATAATCTCCCTTTGTCATGTACACAGCCCAGCCTTCCAACCCTAAACTGCTTCCTGGTCTTGCAACAGCAGCTATTCCACCTTATCTCCCTCCAGCCAGGGCATATCCCTTTGTCCCTCACCCTTGTCCCTTTCCCCAGGTTATCATGGTCACTGGCGACCATCCCATCACAGCCAAGGCCATTGCCAAGAGTGTGGGCATCATTTCAGCCACCAGTGAGACCGTGGAGGACATTGCCAAGCGCCTCAACATTCCTGTGGAGCAGGTCAACAGGAGGTAAGAGCAAACAGAGCACAGGGAATGCCTGTGGGCTCGTTTTCCTCCCTGGGAGAGCCCAGTTCTACACCCAGCTGCTTTCTGCTTTTCTGTTCCATGACACACTCTCAGTTGGGTCCATCCAACGTGCCATCCTTACCTAAACACCTCACTGGCTCTCATCTTCACTACCCTTGAAGAAAACCCAGCAAATTATAATATACAGATCATGTTTGATTCGCTGTCACAGCCCTTTCGACAAAACACACACACAAAAAGCGAAATTCAGAATCACAACAATCACTACTGAAGGACCATCAGTCCAAATTCCTCTTTCACCCACTAAATGTGGGAGAAAAAAATAGCATCACAGGGATAAAAGCTCTTTCCAGAAGAGATGTCTTCCCCCTCTCCTGTCCCTCCCTCCCACTGAGAGGCCTCTTTAAAATGCATTTTCTGCTGCTCAGGAGGAAGCTTCAATGACTCCCCTCTGTCTCCAGGTAACTGTTAATTCACTCCGCATTTCTGCAGCGCCTTTCATTCAACACCTGCTGATTAACAACGAACTGCTTCCCAAATTACCTCAATTTGCTGCTTCCCCACTACTCAGCTGCGTTTACATGCTTTCCACGGAGTGCACTATTTTTATCCCAGCCTTTTTAATTGGAAAAATTCACCCGTGGCTCTTGCAGGGAAGCCACAGCAGCGGTGGTCAATGGGATGGAGCTGAAGGACATGAACTCGGAGCAGCTGGACGAAATCCTGTGTAACCACTCCGAGATAGTCTTTGCTCGGACATCACCCCAGCAGAAGCTGATCATAGTCGAGGGCTGCCAGAGGCAGGTGAGTAAGAGGTGGGGAAGGTCCCACTAGGATATGGCTCCATGCCCTCCAGGAGCTTTCCCCAGCTATCAGCCCCCGGGGTGAGAAGGGTGGAAGGCGATTCCCAGCGCTCCCTGAGCTCTGTTTATACTCTTTTCACTGAGCTGGGACATTATCTAACAGATTGCCATCAACACTGCCTGGACACGAGCCAAGCCACTCAGATCCCGGTTACACACTCTGAACTCCTGCTGACAAAATGAGCTTTCCCTGGGTTTCGCTGGCTTGGAGCTGTACCCAGGGTCTGGATTTTGGCTGGAACTCCCACAAGCAGCTGTGCTGCACATAAAGCCTCCTGGGCAGAGACTGCACTGCTTGGGAAGCTGCCTCTCCTGGGGAATTCTTTTAAACCCAGATAAAAAGCAACTGCTGCTGCCACATCCTCTCATCTCCCGTGGCCATTCAGACCTGCTGCCCATGGGGATGTTCAGGAGTGAGGTGGTTGAGTGGTGCTGGGTTTAGTGGCAGTGCTGGGTTAACAGGTTGGACTCGGTGAGCTCGAAGCTCTAAAGGATTTATGGTTCTAAAGGTATGAACCCCACAAATCGTCAGGGCACGATTTATGCATGACCAAGCCTTATCTCTGTTGCTTTCAAAGACTGTAAATCAACCCACAGACAGCAGGATTTAAAGACAGTTTGTCCCATCCACGGGCAATAATATTATGTAAAGGAGTGTGGAGTGCAGCCAGCACAGGAGGCAGAGAAATGACTCCTACAGAGCTCTCTAAAAGATGCAAATTGCCATCAAAAGATCCTCCCTTCAGAAATGACACCTTCCAGGTAGATGCTGTGAATCAAAGCCACACTAGTGCTGTGCCTGGACTTAGTAGAGAAGACATGGCACAAGACACTATTTTAGCTTTGTAGTTATGCCAGCACTAAGCTTTCCAATCAGCATTATTGGGTTTAAGCCTGAACTGCTTTCAGGAGAGTGGGAAAAAAAAAAAAAAAGAAAAAAAAAGAAAAAATGTATACGAAAAAAAGAGATGAAATGGAAAGATTTTATTTTTTGAATGGTCTCTGTTTGGCACATGGTGGGTAAATGTGCTCTGCACTGCTCAGACACCCACACTCCTGGGAGATTTAAAGGATGGAAAGGAACACCCTCCCCCCTCAACTCAGTCTCCACGCTATGTTTAGTGCTTAGAGCTTATAAGCCCTTCTGTACATGGCATTATTTATAGGTAGTGACACTGAGCTAAATCCCCCCAGGGACAGGACACTCAGCATTTCTATTAATCACTTTGTCAGGCTTTTTCCCACTTGGAACACCCTGTGTTGCACCAAACCACAAACTCCTGCATCAGCCAGAGCAGGACCTTTAGCTGCAGGATAGTTCCATGGGAAGATAACAAAGAAGCTGAGTGGGATAAGCAGAGTTTTCCATCTTTTGGATTACTAGAGCAATTCTAGCTTAGGTTGATGATGGCCAGAAGCTGTTGGGATAGGATGAGAACGGGCTCTAAGTCAGCTGTTACATAATTTACAATTAGGATGAAACCTGGCAGATTCTGTAGGCACTTCACAAGAAAAAACCCCAAAAACCAGGACAGAGCATGTTGTATCAACCAAATCTCACCCAAATGACAGAGGTGAACCTGTGTCTGTTCAGACAGGGATAGACCATATATATACATATATCAATATCTAAATCTTTAAGCTTATATTCCACAGAAAAAAACTATCAGATTAACTGCATTTGAAGTGCATTTAATTGAGGAGTCTACTCTGTAGGATGTAGTGAATCATGTACCCGAATTTTCCATATTTCTGCTGTAGTGGGAACCTAAATGACCAAGTCAGAGACAGACATTATCACACAGCAATCTGAGGTTGCTGTCCTAACCCCACCTACCATCCCTCTGACCGTTTCCTGGGGGTACAAAGAGGATTCAGAACTTCTTATCAGCACCTTTTTCCTAGAGGTGTAAAGAGTGTGCTGAGAGCAGCCTTTCCTTAGGAGCAAATAACACCCCTCTCCTCACCAACCCACACCTGCATCCTTTGTGTCTTCCAGGGAGCAGTTGTTGCCGTGACTGGAGATGGAGTCAATGACTCCCCCGCCCTGAAAAAAGCAGATATTGGAATTGCTATGGGCATTGCTGGCTCTGATGCAGCTAAAAATGCAGCTGATATGGTTCTGCTGGATGATAACTTTGCTTCCATTGTCACAGGAGTGGAGGAAGGTAAAAAAATAACGTTGCTATCCACTTTCTGAGCTGAGAGCTGCTGTCACACAGCACTGGCCAGGCCTCCTGATCTTCTTCTCCACCCTGCACTCACCTCCTCCTTTTTTCTTTCTGGATTTGGAAATGTGATTTTGATACCTGGGAAAATTGGGAATTAATTCCACTTAGAGACATGAAAATCATCCCCTCTCTCACACAGCGTTGATTTGCTACTGCTGTTTGATCAAGCTCCAGACAAAAGCACTTCCCAGCTTGCTCCCATGAGTTTGGAGCCTCACGAAGATACAAGTGGTTTTCTCTGCATTTTCAGTCTGTTACTTGCTCTCACTTCACCTCCACACCTATGACAGTTCCACCCACTCCAATCTCACCATAAAGGTTCTGGGGTTTCCATTAAAACTTCAGCACCTTGTGGAATGGGACTTTTTCCCCTCAAACCTTCTCACTGAAAGAGAGTTTTTATTACACTTGAATTTTCAGGAGGCTCTAAGGGAAGGTTGGTTAGCAGTTAAAAAAAAAAACAGCCAACCAACCAATCAAAAAACCCCACAAAAATAACCTGTAAAGTGCATGAGGAAACATATGAGGAAAGTCAACATAAGCACTAAACATTTTCACTTCAGTTTAGTTAAAAATGGAACTTTTTCTTCTGGAAAACACTTAAGAATTCACTTTTACACAAGTGTTTCCTTCTCCTCCAGGCCGCCTGATCTTTGACAACCTGAAGAAAACCATCGCCTACACCCTGACCAAGAACATTGCTGAGCTCTGCCCCTTCCTCATCTACATCATTGCCAGCATTCCGATGCCCATTGGCACCATCACCATCCTGTTCATTGACCTGGGCACAGACATTGTGAGTTGGGGTGTTTTAAGCCAATTTGCTGCTGGAACATCCAGTGAGAGGGGCTGGGTGCAAAGGGAACGCAGAACAAAGGAAGATTTCGCTGCCTTACCCCGCAGCTGAGTAACAAGGGAGTGAAAGAGGAAGTTAAAAGCAGCCAGGGATAGAGAAAGATGAGTAGAAAACAACAACTACCTGCAGAGGGGGAGCAGGAAGCAAAGCCTTTCTGATCTGTGCTGACAAGAACAATTAGATGTGAGCAAAGAGCAGTGTGCTTCAATCAAGAGATCACAGAAATCACTGCAGGGGATGAACACCAGATATTTCACCAGAGCCAAGGGATCTGGAAGGCCCTTTAATGCTTTTCACATCCTCCAGCTTTGTCAGTTGTCATCTGATCACCAGATCCAGGAAAGAGTCTCAGACTTCCCTCAAACCCTTGAAACACGGGGAGGGAACACCCCAAGGATCCTTCTCCCCTTTGCTCTGTGTGCCCTGACAAGGCAGCACATGAGAACAGAACCACCTGAAAACTGCTACTTTGCTGATGAACACCCCAAAAAAACCGGGCCAGTGCTGCCCCCAGGGCCCTGATGGGTTGTTTGTGTTGCAGATCCCCTCCGTGGCACTGGCCTACGAGAAAGCTGAGAGCGACATCATGAACAGGAGGCCTCGGAACAAGAGGAAAGACCGGCTGGTGAACGAGCAGCTGGCTGTGTACTCCTACCTGCAGATCGGTAGGTTGGCCTCCCAAACACTGCCTTGCACCAGCAAAGCAAGACAGAGTCAAGCTGATCCGGTTTTTTAAAAAAAAAAATGGAAAGCTGAAACTCAACTCCCTCCTCTGCAAATTTACTGACTCCCCCCTTCACTACAGCGGGGTTTTATCTACAGGGAGCAAGAAACTCGGAGCACCAAGAGCTCTAAAACTACCTGTGGACTCCTGGCATGTGCCCCAGTGCTCCTTAATTTGGTTCTTCCTCATCAAACCCTTTGATTTTGCAGGCATCATGCAGTCAGTGGGAGCCTTTGTGACCTATTTCACCGTCTATGCTGAGCAAGGTTTCCTCCCTTCCACCTTGCTGGGCGTGAGAGTCAACTGGGAAAGCAATGACATCAACGACTTTGAGGATTCCTATGGGCAGCAATGGGTAAGGAAGCTCTGAAAATTCCTTGCACTGCCTCTCCTTAAAAATTCTGTGCTCTGCTCCAAAATAAAGAAAGGAAAAGGAGGTTTAGATGCAAATACAATTAGTTGACATGCAATGCTCCTTCAGGATACACTCTTCAGAGCTCCCTGCCACCCAGCTTCCATTCAGCCTGCCTTCTTTCATTCATTCTTCTACAATTTGCCCACTTTCTCGTTCAGAACTTCTGGAGAGGCACCTTCTTCTCTGCACTTTGTGTTTAAGCAGCCAGAAGCATCCTCTCTCTCAGCCCTGCTTCTGAACAGCACCCCTGCCAAGTCCTTTGCAGTCTCTGCCTCCCCCTTTCCCTCCTCACTCATCCTGCAGAAATCACAAGGCAGAAGCCACTGATGAATGAACACAAACACCTCCTCACACCCAGCTCGTGCTGCAGCCTCGTGACTCGGGCCCAGGACCTGTTGGAGCAGAACTGGCCCAAATCTGATGGCTGTGGGTCTAAATCTGGAGCAGCTCTGCATTCACACCTCAGGAACTGAAATCAATCCCACTCTCGAGGTTTGCACGAGATATGAGTGTCTGGTATAACCCTCTCTGATTTTTCCTTCCCTTTGCAGACTAAATACCAGAGGACCTACCTGCAGTGGACAGGCTACACTGCCTTCTTTGTGAGCATCACCATTCAACAAGTTGCTGATCTGATCATCAGGAAAACACGGAGAAATTCCATTTTCCGCCAGGGCCTTTTCAGGTGAGTTTTGGAGGTTTGACTCTTTTGGAATCCCACAATGGGTTGGAAGGGACCTTGAGGATCATTCGGTCCTTCCCCCTTGCCACCTTCCACTAGCCCAGGGTGCTCCAACATCCAGCCTGGCCTTGGACACTTCCAGGGATCCAGGGGCAGCCACAGCTTCCCTGGGCAACCTGTGCCAGGGCCTCCCCACCCTCACAGTAAGCAATTCTTTCCTAATATCTAATCTAAACCTATGTCTCAAGTTATCCTGCAGCTCATTTCAGAAGCAGGTCAGCTCAGTGATTTGACCCACTCTCATTCAGCCTTTGCACAAAGACCAAGTCTGGCCTCGAGCAACCACAAATCTCAGACAAACATTTTACTACTCCTCCCCTCACCCCCCTTTCCTGCTTCAGGAGAGGGGTTTTCTTTTAAAGCAGGGCATTGTATTCATTAGTCTGAGAATGCATAAGCTTTAAACTAACTCTCCATTCATTAATATGTCCCCTATTTAAAAAAAAAAAAATAAAAGGGAGTTTCCTTTCCAGATTATTTTCTCAACTTCTTTATGTAGTTATCAACAGATAGCACGTTTGGAGCCCTCTGAGATAACTCCAGGCTCCAGAAGGGGAGATACCAGCTGGCCACCCTCTGCACCCTTCAAACCCACAGGAGCCAGGGAATTCAAAATATCTGCCGGCACAGAGGCCACCCAGAAAAGCTGACATTCACCCCGAGTCCTTGTGATAGGAGAGCGATTGACTTGTTCTCCATCCGTTATCTGCAGGGACAGAGCCCACACCTATGTGCACTTCCTTACAGCAACACCTGAGTCACGCTGGGCACGCTCCCAGTGCCCCAGCCAGCAGCAGTGTGTGCATCCCAAAGCTTGCTGCCAGCTGGGAATGCTGCCAGGGGGAAGCAGGAGCACGTGCAGTGGCGGCAGAGCCCACCCTGTGCCCGCGGTGCTCACCTGGGGTGTAACTCTCCCTCTCTTTGGTCTTCCCTGCAGGAACAAAGTCATCTGGGTGGGTATATTTTCCCAGATAGGAATTGCTGCGGTTCTCACCTACGGCCTTGGACACGTTACAGCCCTGAATTTCACACCCCTCAGGTGAGTTTTTGGTGCTGCTGAACTGCCCTTGCCCTCCCCATGCAAACACACAAAGGGGGAGCAGGGTGCCCATGCAGCACCACTCAGGGGTAAATATTGAAGAATATTCATTATGAAGAGCAGAATGGGCTATTTCTTAAGCAGAAATGACATTATTATTATAATTTCCACCTTATTCCATCTAAACTCTCAGATATGCTCCATTTTTCTGCCATTTTCAGAGGCTGTAAATACCACCAGGCAATGTTTCCTTCTAGATAGGATCTGGAACAGATTAATTAAGACTGGGAGGCTTTATGGGCACATTTGAGTGCTTAGTTAAGACAAAGGAAAGAGGCCCAAAAGTCCAGATTCTCTTTTAGTGACATCAAGCAGCACAGAGACCCCAGAAAGGCAGCTGGGTGGTTGTTAATGCCTCTGACTGAGACCCTCTTCCCACCCTGCCAGGTTCCAGTACTGGTTTGTGGCTGTGCCCTTTGCCATCTTGATCTGGGTCTATGATGAAATCCGTAAGCTGCTCATCAGGAGGTACCCAGGAAGTAAGTACAGGATTCTTCCAGTTTAATATTTCGATTTAATGTGCCTTTTCCTACCCTTTCACTCACAGGTGGCTGCTTAAAAAGGAACCACTTGTAGCCAATGACCACTTTGCCTTTCTGAGGGAAAAAGAACTGATTATTTTTCTTCTCCTCTCCCTTCTCCTCCTGCAGGTTGGTGGGACAAGAACATGTATTATTGAAACAGTCCTTACCAAAGGTTTTCTTCCTCCTCCCTGGAGAGATTCTTCCCCCCACGACTCAGCCTCTGCTGCTTTCAAAGTCCTGTCTGTGCAATACCAAGCATGGATTTGCCCCACGATGGGGTGAAGAGATTTCATGAGTTTAATGAAGAAATAAGGACTTTAGAGGTTGATGAATTAACCTCCCACCGTACTGTAAAGCCAAGACTTGTCTAGAAATTGAAATACTACCTGTTTTTGTAACGACTACGATTTCCCCTCGTTCAAAGATGAACTCTGAGAGGAAAACACACATAAAGGACAAAAAACAAAGACAGAAATTCCATATAACCCAAGGCATTAATTTGCACTGAAGGTGTTGTTTGCTGATTTTGTTCTGGTGGAACTGAATTCCGGGCGAGTGCATACACAGATCTGTGTTCCCTTACCAAGGGTAAAAGTGATGTATAGGAATAATTTGATAATAAAACTTTTTCCAGAAAACTGTTCTCCACCTTATGTTCTTATAAAGACTGAGAAAAGCTGAGTGGAACAGGGAAGGACCTGCCAGGTCACAGGGGAAAGAGGTGCCCCCCTTTGGCTTTTTTTTGCCCCCATTTATAGCCCAACATACTCGAAATCCTTGTTTTGACAAATTTGTCTTGAAAATCAAGGCACAAAGCAGAAGATTTGAACACTTTGAGAGCCCAAATTCCATGCTCCCTTTCCAAAGGTGACAACCTCCAAGGCAAAATAATCCTTGGGATGGATTAGCTGGGAACAATTAAAGCTCTCTTTGAAACCAGGTCTTGAACAGGGTCATTTCAGCAGGAAACAGGAGGTCCCACATCTTGTTTAGACCAGGGCTCGACCAGTTATAAAGCAAATGATAGATGATATGTACTAAATTTCACATTTAAATACAAGTCTAGACAAGCTTTAGGGAAGAAACAAGGGCAGCAAATGAGAACTCCTGTTGCATCAAACAGCAAGAGGGATTGCCAGTGAGGGAGAAACCAAGCTGAGGGAGGGGAAGGAGAGGAGTGTTTTCCAAGCTAAAGCTGCCTGTCCAAAAGTCCACACCCTTCTGTTAGAAGCTACTTTGCATTTTGTGACCTTCCTTCCTCAAAACTCCTCACCTTAATCCCTGGCTGGGCATTGCACTGGGTATCAATTATACTGGGTATCAACAGAGGGAGGTGAAGAAGGAGGAATTGCCAAGGAAGAAGGAAGAGGGACAGAAAACGAGCCTGGAAACAATGGGTGAGTCCAAATTCCAGATAAATGTGCTGCTTATCACTGGCAGTGCAATCCTGGAGCACGCCAACAACAGCAGGAGAGGTGCCAAGCTGACTCATTCCAACACCTTGGCACTTGCCAGGAGCCAGCACTGATTTGTTTTGTCTTCTGTTTAAAAGCCAGCAAAGATACGAGGAGAAATTCCACGGGTGAGCAACATGACCTGCTTTCCAGCACCTCCAGACTGGCCAAAATATCTGTTCAAATAAGAGACAAGAGGAAAGAAAGGGGAAAGACTCGATGTTGAGGGGGCAGTTACTGCACAGAACCAGGAAAGAATATAATAGCTATGGTTGTTTTACTTCAAAAACAAAGTGTATTTTATTGAAACAACTTCTAGAAAAAATGACTGGATAGGTTGTAGAGAATGTACAAGAATATACAAGACTAAAAGCACAGTGCAAAACCACCTCTGGAGTAAAGAGTCTCTTTTCTCCCACTGGCTGAAGACCAAATCTACAACAAATTCTTACAAAAAGAACTTTGTCTCGTGGTGCTGTAACTCCTGACAGTTATCACCTCATAAACACAACCCTAGGGAGGACGGGGAGAGTTTTCCCTCCCAGCCCTGCCAGCTGGAGTGCAGTTTGTTCCTGGATAAGCCCAGCACCCCTGACTGCAGTCACAGACAAACCACTGTCCTGCCAGTGCAAACCAAACCCAGGATAATTTCTGATTATGTCCACAGCACAGCATATAAAAGACTGACAAACCCACAGGGCCACAGGAGAGGAGATTCCCAGCATTCCAAGGCCAAGTGGCAGCGTTACAGCTGTAACACTGGAACCTGATCTGGCTGCTTCTTCACATTTCTAGGAACGTTCTTTTGCCATCTCACAAAGCATCGAGTCTCTGTCTGACAACTGCAGCCTCCCCACCATCAGAGGGAACTTTGCTCTGGGATGGAAGAAGAGTCAAATAAAGAACAAAGAAGGAACAAAGCAACACAGGCTGGAGAAAAACTCAGCAGCAGGGGAGAAATAAAAAAAAAAAAAAGAGAAGTTCTGAGAGGAAGACTTAAAAGATGGATGTGATCCATCCATTTTGACATCAACATATGGTCCTGAGAGAGGAGCAAAAGAATTCTGCTCTTCTGTCATAGCAGTGTCTGAAAGCCACCAAATGTCTGTCTCCTCATCCCCTCTGTGCAGGAGTGAGTGGGGAGGAACACATTTCCCACCTGTATAATCGTTTTAGGGGGAAAAACAAGCAATGTAGAAGATCAGTGACAGAATAAAAACCAATCCCAAACCAACCAGAAAAAACAAAAAAAAGAAAAAAGCAAAATGAAACAATAAAAAAAACAATAAAATAACAAACTAAAGGGGGACAATGATCTGGAGCAAACACCTCGAACCCTGCAAATGATTCTGAAACAGTCTGCTCTCATACCTGTAGAGTCAGTTTTGCTTCTAAGAAGAATTGCCAACAAATGCTCCTTTGTGTTTCCAGTGTTGCTTAGTCACAGCTCTCCTCAGGGGCTGAGATTAGTCTGTAGGCACCCTGTCAGCTCTGTAGTCTGTGACTCCATCACACCAGCATTCCTTTGAGAGACAAGATGTTCCCTGCAATCTGTTTTACCATATCAATGCCTGAGCAGAAAGTTCAAATCAAAGCAACTGAAAAGACAAGTGAAGAAATCAGAATATTGACATAATTTTCCACGAGGGCAAAGCCTGCAAACACCTGAAGACAAGAACCACTGTTTCTAAATCTCAGAGCCTTCCCAGTATTACAAAAGAAAAACAGACAAACAGGCCACAGGCATGGAAAGAATGAATCCTGCATTTGCTCATGGCATTTGTGTTGGTTTGAACCAGCAAACCTGGGAATTGCTGCACAGGACAGGGCAGTGCAGGGACCTCCCAGCCCAGTGTCACCATCCTCTGTTGACATCCCAGGCATGAGGGTTTGGGATCTGATGCAAGAGAGTGTGGAACTAAACACAGGCCTCTTTTAACCCCCTGAACTCCGGGAGCACTGCAGTGTTCACGAGGAGAAGGTGGCACAATCCAGCTGCAAACTTCAGCGACTCAAACACACCCAGAAGCATCTTCCCTCCAGTCTCATGGCCAGTTTATAAGTAGCAGCCTCACACATCAGTTCTTACACTTAGTGCTGCATCATTTATTCCCTTGAATCTGCTCTGTCTCCCGTTTTTGAGCAGGTTAAAGGATGTTCACCGTGGCAACTTCGTGTCCTCGTGGCTCCCAAATTAAAAATGTTATTGGGATTCAGTTAAATTCCAGATCTGGGCAGAACACTCTTTAATCCACGCTCTGAAAAACTTATTTGGCAAGTTCCTTATATTATAGCTGGGAAGGAAGATAATTTGCTTTCCTGGTCAGGTCTCTGCACAGCTTTTTCACTCAGCTTTGCACAGCCTGTATCACACGGAGCCTCCAACCTTGTGTAGGTTTATTGTTACTCCATGAACAGCCTCTTTATTATTATTATTATTATCATTTGAGGGGTGAGAAAACATGCAGGAACAAATGAATCACGAGAAATACTTCTGTGCTGGATGCTAGAACAAAAAGAAAATGCCATTCCTCCACTGAGTTCTTTCTTGTAAATGCCCTGAGTCAGCTGTGCAGCCTCAGCAGGAACAAACACTGCCCTCAGTCTCAATAACTTGTTATTATGACATGCAATGGAGAGCAGGAGATTTTGAACTGTGAGATAACAGACCTTCAAATAGGCTGTTTCTTTTTTTTTTGCTACAACTCCACTAAAAGCATGCCAAGAGTTAACTCACTAGCTCATAAACTGAGAAATCCTTCTTCAACACAAAACTCTGCCTTCTTGCTCCAGCCTCAGCCAGACTGGACAGGTCTGATGTCCCCTCTGATTACATTGAATTTCACAGCTTTCCTTTCCCTCCCCTTTGCTGAACTCAACAGCTTCTCTGCTCGGTTTTCTCTGGTTTGAACTGGCTCTCAGCATCTCCACCTCCAAAAAATCTAAATACTCTCTCCCCTTTCACCTCTGTGTTATTGGCAAGTCCTGCATTCTGGGCAAGAGCAAAATGAAAAGGGAGAGCTGGCTCCAGGCAAAGGGTTGCTCTGCAGCAAAAAGGGGAAAGGGAGGACGTAAGGATGGCAAAAACTATTATGCAATGCAGTGTGTATAAGTCTGTCCAGGCTGGCAAATTGTACTGGTTGCTCTGTCTGTGAGGTTTGTCTCCTGACCCTCAAAAACTTATTAATAGCAAGACTAACACTAGAATTAGATAGTGGGATTTTAGATCCTACTTCCTAACACACGGATTTTGAACAGGTCAGAGTTACTGAGCGATTTATCTTGGAGTGAGTCAAGCTCTGAGATGGTAACACATCACAATACCTGCCTTTTACCATAACTGTGTGAGAGATAAAGTCCTCACGTGTGGCAGGGCTGGATTTTCCCTTATGCTCAAAACCAAAACTGATTTTGGCATTAGCAAAGAGATGTGTTTATCACTGAAGTGTGGCACGTAGACTTTTCAGTGATGACTGTGCAGAGCACGTTCCCTTTCCTGTAAATCAGTTTGGCAGACCTCGTGTAGGACACTCATTCCCTCTCCAAACAACTAACTAGGAATTCCCAGTATTACATTTTTAACCACAGAATATGATTTAAGAGCTGAAGAATCGTTTGAGAGAGCCTGTGATGTCAAGACTTGAGTGAAGACTGGAGGGCTACAAGTGAAGACTTCTGAGAGTGCCTTCAGTGCCACCAACTCATAGGGAGGGTTCACATTTTCAAACAGAAACTGCAGCCAAATTACACAGTGGAAACTCTTCCCACTACCTCTTCTGCTGCACCACCTCTGGTGCAAGGAACCTCTCTGGCAGACACCAGGATGCTGCTGGCCCACGTTTCCTCAAAGAGGAAAGGAAAACAGAGGAAACAGAGCACAGAAATTCACATTCTCACGCAAACATTTGCAGAGAGCTGCTGTTCTCACTGCAGCGTCAACACCTGCTGAAAATAGGACTGATGCTAGAAAGGCACACTCAACTCACAGCCCATTTGTTCCTGTAACTCAAGAGATTACTGCTGATGTGCCACCACACACAGAACCCTGGGATGACACCTCCTGAGGGTAACCAGTTCTCAAGGGCCTTGCTGGGAATCTGTGACGAAGCAAAGGAAGTTTTCACATCAACACTCAGGGAAGCCCTA